TTTTTTTTGGCTGGGGCCGGGTTTGAACCTGCTATCTCAGGTATATGGGGCCAGCGCCCTACTCCTTGAGGCACAGGAAAGAATTTTAAGCACAAATTTCTTTTCTTTTCTTTTTTTGAGGCAGAGCCTCAAGCTGTCACCCTGGGTAGAGTGCCTTGGCATCACAGCTCACAGCAACCTCCAACTCTTGGGGCTCAAGTGATTCTCTTGCCTCCGCCTCCCAAGTAGCTGGGACTACAGATGCCTGCCACAACACACGGCTATTTTTTGGGGTTGCAGCTGTCATTGTTGTTTGGTGGCCCGGGCTGGATTTGAACCCTCCAGCTGAGGTGTATGTGGCTGGCACCTTAGCTGCTTGAGCCACAGGCGCTGAGCCTAAGCACAAATTTCTTTCCTAAAAAGACTTTTGGAACTAGAATCTGTTAGGGGCCTAAACCCTCCCGCCTCCTCCTCTCTTAGAACAAAAGACCTACCTGGCTGCCCCAAGAGCCGTGCCTGACAAAGACCCTAACCCGCCAAAGCCTTCCTGCAACTTATGGACTCTTCCTCCCCTATGCCTAGTGTAAAAAGCAAGCCTCCAACCGTCCTAAGCCACCATCTTTGTCCAGGCGGGTCTCTGTCTCCTTTCATTAAACTTGGCCTGAATTTCTCCTGGTCTCCTCTCTGGATACACTACGGAACTACTTTCAGAATCCAGATTGAGTTCTGTTTCCCTCTAGGTCAGAAATTCCTAAACATAGCTTTGGATTGAAGAATTGAGGCACTTTCATGAAAACAGATTCTGGGGCCTCCCCCCAGAATTATTAATGTGTAGGTGTGGGAACCAGAATCTATATTTTATTCAAGCTTCTGCTGAGAATTTATGCAGTCAGTCCTGGATTGGGTCTGCTTTTTTGTGCAGTCGCTCTGGTCTTGAATTACTCCTTTCGATTTTGTTGTTTGCCTAGGCATTCCAGAACGAAGGATCCAGGAGACTCAAGAAAATGGCACATAGACTAGGAATGTTCTATTGTTTTTTTTTGTCAATCAAAAAATTTAGTCCTTAGTCTTTGTCTGAGGAAGGACCTGAAGGGATGAGAGTTAGAAAGGAAACTTAGATTATCCCTGGCACCCTCCCCCCCCTTTTGAGACAGAATCTCACTTTCTTGCCCCCGGGTAAAGTGCTATAGCTTCCCAGCTCACAGCAACCTCAAACTCTTGGGCTCAAGTGATTCCCTTGCCTCAGCCTCTCTAGTAGCTGGGACTACATACAGGCAGGAGCTACAATGCATGCCTAGTTTTTATATTTTTAGTAGGAGGGGATAGGGGCTCGCTCTTGCTCTAGCAGCTAGGCTAGCTGGTCTGGAATTCCTGAGCTCAAACAATCCACTGGCTTTAACCTCCCAAAGTGCTGGGATTACAGGTGTAAGCACCAGGCTTAGCAAGTTAGTTAGTCTTGATTACATTTTGAGTGTCCTTAGGGCAGTAGTTCTCAACCTTCCTAATGCCCTGAGCCTTTAATACAGTTCCTATGGGTCGAGACCCACAGGTTGAGAACTGCTGCCTTAGGGCATAAATAAGGAGGATTACTAACAATGATTGTATTAGGTTATCACAGACTTCAGGAAAGTGTATGGGCTCAGTGAGTAGGGTGCTGGCCCCATATACCAAGAGTGGGAGGTTCAAACCCGGCCCTGGCTGAACCACAACAAAAAAATAGCCAGGCATTGTGGCTGGCGCCTGTAGTCCCAGCTACTCAGGAGGCTGAGGCAAGAGAATCACCTAAGCTCGAGGAGTTGGAGGTTGCTGTGAGCTATGTGATGCTACGGCACTCTACCGAGGGCGATAAAGTGAGACTCTGCCTCTACAAAAAAAAAAAAAAAGGAAAGTCTTAATCTCATTTTGGATGCTCCCTCTGGCCTTCCTCTTTGGACGGGCTCAGCTCTTATATGCGCTTTGATTTATTTAATTGCAGCCATCTGCATTGGAAAACAAAACAAGCTGATCTCTTCCTCTCTAAATCTTTGTCGTAAGGAGAGGTATTAAATTGGCTAGTGCCAGCAACATTGGAGTTGAGGCTGTTAATGGAAACCTAGGCTTCATAAACTTTTGCCAGGCTCTGAAGTACAGGGAGTTTCATGTCAGATTTTCAGTGGGCTGATTCAGAGGGGTGACTGAGTGGGTGGGTGAGCATATTATGGCATTCCGACTGTGCCATTTTCTGTCCCCTGCTACCTCAGTATAACTGCCAGACTTTTTGTACTGAAGGTCATTTCTGTTGCCCTTGGAGCAGAATTCATTTTAGCTTTCCTTTTTTCTCCTAGACCCACATATGAAGATTATCAGAAAACTGCAGAATGGCTTCTGTGTCATACTGAATACCGACCTAAAGTGGCAGTGATCTGTGGTTCTGGATTAGGGGGTCTGGCTGATAAATTAACTCAGCCCCAGTTCTTTGACTACAGCGAGATACCCAATTTTCCCCTAAGTACAGGTACCAGCGGGGGTGAGAAGTGGGAAGTGGGAGATGGGACTGAGGGATATTGATGAGTTTCTGGGAACCCAACCAGGGAGGCAAATGTTTCTGCACCTGGACCTGCTGTTTGACTGAAGACATGTTGCATGAGAGGAAAAAAAGGCCATCATGAATCAGAATGATGGAAAGATTTCCCCCAGGAGGAAAGAGTCTTACTTTCTCACCCTTGGTAGAGTGCCATGGCATCAGGGCTCACAGCAACCTCATACTCTTGGGCTCAAGCAATTCTTTTGCCTCAGCCTCCCAGGTAGCTGGGACTACAGGTGCTCACCACAATGCCCAGTTATTTTTTAGAGACAAGGTCTTGCTCTGGTTTAGGCTGGTCTTGAACTCATGAGCTCAGGCAATCTACCTGCCTCAGCCTCCCAGAGTGCTAGGATTGGTTCTAAGGCATGAGCCATCATGCCTGCCTGGCTAACTTTTTAAATTTTTTCAGAGATGGATTCTTATTCTTGTTCAGATTGATCTCAAACTCCTGGCCTCAAGCAATCCTCCTGTCTTGGTTTGCTTCCCAAAATGCTAAGATTGCAGGCATGGGCCACTTTGCCTGGCACTCTATTATCCACTTTTTTATTCACTTTTATTCTCTTGCAATATGGCTTTTATTCATCTGAAATTTCTTTAAAAAGTTTTTCCTTCTTCCTTTGTATGTTCACTTCAGACATTGTTAGCTCCATAACTCTAATCTCAGGTTGTATAATTATGATTAAAGTCTGTTTTGGCTTGGCACCTGTGGCTCAAGTGGCTAAGGCACCAGCCATGTACACCTAAGCTGGCGGGTTCAAATCCAGCCTGGGCCCACCAAACAACAATAACGGTTGCAACCAAAAAAATAGCTGGACATTGTGGCAGGAGCCAAAGTCCCAGCTACTTGGGAGGCAGAGGCAGGAGAATCGCTTGAGCTCAGGAGTTGGAGGTTGCTGTGAGCTGTGATGCCACAGCACTCTTCCCAGGGCAACAGCTTGAGGCTCTGTCTCAATAAATAAAAAAGAAAGAAAGAAAGAAAGAAAGAAAGAAAGAAAGTCTGTCTTTCCAGCCAGGTGTGGTGGCTCACACATTTAATCCTAATACTCTGGGAAGCTGAAGCAGGTGGATTGCCTTGCCCGAGCTCAGGAGTTGGAGACCATCCTGAGCAAGATGAAGACCCCATCTCTAAATAGCCAGATGTTGTGGCAGGTACCTGTAGTCCCCCAACTTTTGAGGCTAAGGCAGGAGGATCACTTAAACCTAAGAGTTTGAGGTTGCTGTGAGCTACAATGCCACAGCACTCTACTGAGGGCAAGCAAGCGAGACTCTGTCTTAAATAAATGAATAAAATAAAGTCTGTCTTTCCCATCAGACTTAAACTTTCTGAAAACAGATAACAATGCCTTCTTTTACTTAATTATACCCTCATGTGTTGAGCACAGTGAGTGGTTCACTAGATGTTAAATGGCTATATGTAGCATGAAAACATAATCCCATTTCTCTTTCTTTTTTGTATGCAGTGCCAGGTCATGCTGGTCGGCTGGTATTTGGGATCCTGAGTGGCAAAGTCTGTGTGATGATGCAGGGCAGGTTCCATGCATATGAAGGGTACCCACTCTGGAAGGCAAGTCCAGGGATAGAAGTCTGGTTGGGTCTGGAAGAAAGGGGAGACAACTATTACTAGCTAGGACTAGGTAGATTTTTGGTGTCTTCCTTCCTCTTCTTTCATGATATATATTATACATATTTGTGTAGGTAGAATGATGAGATTTTGCATACACTTTTTCTGATGTTTTGCTTCTCAGGTGACATTCCCAATAAGGGTTTTCCAGCTTATAGGTGTGGACACCCTGGTGGTTACCAATGCCGCTGGAGGGCTCAACCCCAAGTTTGAAGTTGGAGATATCATGCTGATCCGTGATCACATCAACCTACCTGGCTTCTGTGGTCAGAACCCACTCATAGGGCCAAATGATGAAAGGTATGTATCTTGCTCCATTGTTTCTAGATGGTTAGGGTTTAAAGATTTGTCTAAGAGTTGGGAGAGTATTTTTAATCTCATTTATCTGAGATAATCCAACCTGTGCCCTAGGTTTGGGGTTCGTTTCCCTGCCATGTCTGATGCCTATGACCGGACCATGCAGGAGAAGGCTCTCATTACCTGGAAACAAATGGGAGAGAAGCGAGCACTGCAGGAAGGCACTTATGTGATGTTGACGGGCCCCAACTTTGAAACTGTGGCAGAGTGTCGTCTGCTGCAAAAGCTGGGGGCAGACGCTGTTGGTGAGAAGAGGCATTGGCTAGAGGCGGAAGAGGGAGAGCTCTAGTAAAATAGGGATGGGTGAGATCTAGTAAAATAGGAAGGAATAGACCTAGTTAGATTGAGAGAAGGTTTGGTTCAAGAGAAGTGTGAATTAAATTGACTTCTAGGAAGGCAAAGTGATAATGTTTGGTGTGTCGTAGCATCACATCTCCTCACTGAGCACCAAGGCTTAATTAACAGCTGCAGTGGCAATAACCTATCCATGATTTGATGACTGTTTCTAACTATAGCCACCTTCTTCTGTTCTGGCTGGAAGATGGAACTACATCATTAGAACTGACTTCAAATGTACCACAACTAAGTGTAGACCTAAAGCATTACATGGGTCATTATAAGAAACAGTTGAGATGTTAAGGTTATGGATGGAGGTGAGGCTAAAGGGCAAGGAAAAGAGTCATTTGAGAATCCTAAGAATTGGCTTCCCTCTTTCTCCCAATCAGGCATGAGCACAGTACCGGAAGTGATAGTTGCACGGCACTGTGGACTTCGAGTCTTCGGCTTTTCACTCATCACTAACAAGGTTGTCATGGATTATGAAAGTCTGGAGACGGCCAATCATGAGGAAGTATTAGAGGCTGGGAAACAGGCCGCACAGAAATTGGAAAAGTTTGTCACCACACTTGTTGGCAGTATTCCACTCCATGGCAGTACCCGTTGACCGGCCCTGAGTCTTTGAGAGCCAAGTAGCTGCTACCTGCTTTGTCCCCCTACTGGGGTCACAAGCCTCTGCCCTCAAGTAGTAGCAGAAAGGAGCTAATGATTCCTATCCTTCAACTTCTGTACTTTCTCCCACCAGACCCTTCTGGTGCCAGGTCTTTTGCTCAGTTGTCTTCTCAAAGCAGTTTCCACCCCTTTTCTTCCCCCATAGCTGGAGCTCATGCCCTACCACACTTCTGTGGATATGCCCAGGATTTGAGCTGGGCCTTCAGACTCTGCCCACTTGGCTGCTACTGATGTTTTTCCATAATACTTTCACATTCCTGGAAGCTCTGTTCTGCCTCACCTAAAGTGCTAGATACCAACCAAGGACCAGCACCATGCCTTTTATACTTCATTAAACACCATAATGTTTTGAGAATAAATGGAAATATTAAAGAATTTCTACATTTTTTTGTGTAATTTGTGGTGAGGATGAGGCACAGGCCAAAAATGACAAGAGTGTAAAACCACATGTCTGTGTAACTTCTGTTTCTCAGACAAGTAGCTACGAACTGAGATGAGGTGGTATGAGTGCAGCAAAGGATGAAGAAAGAGCAAGATGGGGAAAGGTGTTACACACAATGAGGGGAAAGGCTCATTTCTGGCACTCCAAAGCCACTTCCCTCTGGGCATGCCTCCCCTCCTGTCCTCTAATTGTTTCACCACACCCACCCCTGTCTGTTCTCTCATGAATATCTGAATTAGTTCACTAATCTACTGAGATTAGTTGCCTTAGTTGCCACTTCCTTTTGAAGGCCTTAATTACATTTCTTGTTTTTCTTCTCTTTTCTACTCTTCTAATTTATGCAGCTATACTGTTCTTCATTCCATTCTGACAGTAGTAGTAGCAAATACCCCTTTCTCTGCCTCCAGCCATCCCACTGCTGAAGAGATTCCTGCCAGCCCCAGGCAAACCTATGAAGTTGATTCATACTTGCCTTCTCTTATTTTATTTTATTTTTTTTCAGTTTTTGGCTGGAGCTGGGTTTGAACCCGCCACCTCCAGCATATGGGGCCGGTGCCCTACTCCTTTTAGCCACAGGTGCCGCCCTTTCTCTTATTTTTTTGAGACAAAGTCTCACTCTGCATCGGGTAGAGTGCCACGGTGATGTCATAGCTCAACAGCAACCTTGAACGCTTGGGCTTAAGAGATCCTCTTGCCTAAGCCTGCCAAATAGCTGGAACTACGTAGAGGTGCCCACTGTAATATTCAGCTATTTTCTCTATTTTTTGTAGAAACATGGGTCTTGCTCTTGCTCAGGCTGGTCTCAAACACCTGAGCTCAAGCAATCCACCCACCTCAGTCTCCTAAAATGGTAGGTTTACAGGTGTGCCACCATGGCCAGGTCTTGGCTTCTTCTCTCCATACCTCCTGCTATTTCCTCTCTGAGCCCCAGTCTTTCTCTTTACTTTGCTTGGTCAGAAGCTCCCTGTGGCATGGTATGCATGTATTGCCCTTTGTTGGCTCTCTGAATTATTATCTTCACTTACCAACTTGCATTCAGCTGGCTGGCATGTTTGAAAACCACACTATTCCAGGCCTGTGTGCCTTTTGAGAAAAGACAATCACCTAACAGTGATGACATTTCAGTTGTTAATGGCATATTATGGAAAAAGCAACATTTTTTTTTTTTTGAGACAGTCTCACTATGTTGCCCTCGGTAGAGTGCGATGGCATCACAGCTCACAGCAACCTCAAAGTCTTGGCTTAAGCAATTCTCTTGCCTCAGCCTCCCAAGTAGCTGGGATTACAGGCGCCCACCACAACATCCAGATGTTTTTTATTGCACTTGTCATTTAGCAGGCCAGGGCCGGGTTCAAACCGGCCAGCCTGGGTGTATGTGACCAGTACCCTACCTGATGAGCTATAGGCGCTGCCCTGGAAAAAGCAATTTTAGAGAACTCTTTCTGATCATCCTTTGCTGAGCTTAACACAAAGTAAAAGTAGCTTTTCTAGAGTAGCTCTTCTTTGTACCTCCACCCGCCACTAAAACCCTCTTTGCTAGCATCTGCTACTTGTCTCTGAGAGCAGGTTTAAAGGGAAGTACCATGCAGCCTTCAGATATACACAACTATAACTTGTTCATCTAATGCATTGGCTTACAGACATTTCTCTTTTATCAAGTTATTTAACATCTCTTTGTATAACACTCCAAGCTAAGAAAATGCTAAGTCAAGAATATAGAAATGGGCAGTGCCCATAGCTCAGTGGGTAGGGCGTCAGCTACATACACCCAGGCTGCATGTTCGAACTCAGCCTGAGCCAACTAAACAACATGGACAACTGCAACAAAAAAATATCCAGGTGTTGTGGTAGACGCCTGTAATACCAGCTTCTTGGGAGCCTAAGGCAAGAGAATTGCTTAAGCCCAAGAGTTTGAGGTTGCTGTGAGCTGTA